TACTAGTCGGGTTACGGCTGTGCACGCACAGCCGGCCCAAATTTAAGGTTGTATTTTTTTATTTTATTTAACAAATGTGAATAATATATTTTTATTTTATTCTTTCAATTCACAGTCTGCCGATCCTTTATTATATTATTGTCATTTTTTTCCACTCATTTTCAAACAAGAGTTAAGTGTTATTGATTAAACACTAAACACGCATATCCAAAATACAAGTTACAGTTGAACAGGCTATTTGTAGATAATAGAGCAATTACAATCGTTCAATATCTAAAATAAGAACCACACGAATGTTTCAAGTGTAGCACCTCATATAACTGTTATATGTTTTTACGGCAACATAAAATTCAATACTAACAACGGCCATGTTGACAGACGAAATTTATTTAACCTAAATTGGTTACCATTTGCCAGAGAGAAAGCGAGAGTAAAAGTATTTGACAATTTTTCAAAAAAAAAAAAAAAAAAAAAATTCATTCACAATCTCAAACAAATACACGATTTGCAGAGTGGTGAAGTTTATTGAGCTGATGGTTTGCTACTGATTTTTTCCTTAACTTGCGCTTACATTAATAAAGCAAAAAATTTATGTGCTATGAATCCTTAAAATTGGTAAATTAGTATGTGCGACAAAAAGATACAGAAACTAATCCGGATACATTAAACAGAGATCTCAATAGAACATGATACTCAAGTCTTAAAAATTTTAAGAAATAATTCCAAGAAATAACTACAGGCATTGAGAAATAAATTTAAAAAAAAAAATGAAAGCATGCAAAACCCTTAAATCGAGAACACCATTAAAGGTGTAATAGAGGTATAAGAAATTAAGCAAATTAATACATAGGTGGTACGGAAGCGCAAGTTGAATAACAATCAATCACTTCAGATGCACCTTCAGCACCTCTTTGAATCATACTCTATGATCTTCTTTCTAGTCATTCATCTCAATCTAGAAAATTGAGAATAATTCTGAAAAATAAAAAAGAAAGGGCAAAAAAAACTCTCAACACAATATACTCATCTTTATGACAAAACCGTGATGGCAAACAAAATGTTTGAACATTCAATAGAAATAAAACAACATTTATGAAATTCGACAACAATTTTTGTCCTTAAAAAGTGAGCACCCGATAAACAAAAGTGAAACCACCTTGTTCTTTGATAAATGATGCATAAATTGAAGCTGTACTTAGCCATGGTTTTGGCAAGTACATTCACATTTTCAAAAGTCACAGCTCTTTCCCAATCTTTTGAACATAGAAAAGTTATGTTCCTCACAAGGTTTACAGTAAGAATTTAGAAGTAACCAAAAAAACAAAAAAGTTTGTATTGAGAACATAACATTCACAGTAAATTAGTATTTCATAATAGACACGCCATAAGAAAAATGTGTTGACATTTGTGTATCATATATCAATCAAAAACATACTAAAACATACATAATTCATAACTACATGTTGACTATGAAGTCCAAAGTGCTAAAAACAATTGATATTAGCTAAATTTAGTCGAATACTTTATCAATCATATTTTTTTCCGTTCACTTCCAACCCCCTTAAATTTAGCTACCTCTATGATATTTGGGTAAACACAATTCACCCATCAATCTTTCCAAAGAGTACATGTAAGTTTAAAAGATGGGCACTTTTTTTTTTTTTTTTCCTTTCATTTCTCTACCTCTATGACAAACTTCCAAGTTAACACTTGATCTAATGGCATATTAGTTAATCGAATCATCGGATGAGAATCCACAAAATGGTCCTACATCCAAACTTGATAACTAAAATGCCAGATTTTATCTGATGAAAAAGGTTTATTGTCCGATCAGTAATCTAGAGTGAAAATTGAAATTTCGGCATTACCTGACCGTCTTCATTCAGTTTTTGTATAGCAGCCTAAAATCAGAAAGAGAATGATATCACGTACAATAATCGTTTCAAAGAAATGTAACCCGAGCTCTTTGGTTTCCAATATAAGGTTCTCGACTAACCCGAACATTCGCCTTTATCGATGTATTATTAGGATCCAGCACATGGGCTGCCAAAAATATGATAGCTCTATTTAAAACCACAATTAAAAATAAAATAAAAAAATAAATAATGACAACCTGAAAAATAATAGGTGGCCTCAAGTGAAATTTATTTTATGTAAGCATACCACATTTGTTCGTCGAAATAACAAATAGAGGTATACATCTACCATAAATGAATTACAATAACCAACCTTTCATATATTCATCAATTGCATACCTATACCTCCCTTGAGAGTAATAAGCAAATCCCAAGCGACTATAAGCCTTGCTGCAATGTGGATTGATCTCTATGGACTTCAGACAATCTTGAATAGCTTCAGCATATCTGTGGAGTTGTGTATATGCAGACGCCCTAACAATTTGGGAAGGAAAAAACTAATAAATAATAAAGGAAATATCATTTTTCGGAAGAATAAAGGTTATGTTAGAACCCCAAAAAGGTACATCCTCAATTCTAATTTGAAAACTTCGTAGAATCTGTGACGTCCTAGAACCTGCCGGCCCCTTCTTAAAAATAGTTTAGAGCAATTGAGATTTAAAAGAATAAATAAAATCGAAAACAACAGACTGATCTGTTGCAATAGTAAACCGCATTGGCTTCACATAGAGCAACAACAAAAGTATACAGCTCAACTGCTTCATCGTAGCGTTTAGACTGCACGAGCTTGTTACCTGCCAATGATGAAATTTGAATAAGCATTAAACAACCAATCCACGATAAAGGAACTTCTGTTCATTTTTAGAATACATGGTACCAGTAATGTATGGGAATTTCATAATTCATGGGAAAATAAAAAAAAATAAAAATATGCCAACGATATTTGAATTTCGGGCAAGACATGAGATGACCATGAAATGGAAGAAATAAAAAGTAGAAAGATGAGTTATTTTAATGATTCAAGTGCGTGGCAGGCTGGCAGCAGAAGAGAAGTTTCATTGTAAGTCAATTTAAATACTCTATTTCATGCATAAATAGATTGCTCCTATTTCCAGTGACAGTTGCGAAAAAAGCTCAATTGCCAAAAGAGAAGTAAATCAGTCTGTGATACGCCCATGAGGACCGCTTTTATGTGTGCATGCGTGTGTGTGTGTGCGTGAGAGTGAGGGAGAAGAAGAAGTACCCTGTGATTTAAAGGTCTCTGCCAGCATATTCTGATAAAATGTTTGACATCCTGTTTCTTCCATTTCCTGTTATAATGGTCCCACGGTAATGAGATAAAAGTAAGAATAGTAAAAATACATGAACTATGATTTAAGTCTTTTGCAGATATGTTGATTCCTCTAATAATGAAGTACCTAATGCAAATTAAAGACACTAATAAGTCACGGCTACACAACACAATAAAGTATGAGGCCAGCTTCACAATATGAAGGGTACAAATAGTAAAAATCTCAAAGCCGAAATAAAAAAATAACATGTTCACACACGCACTACAAATAAGCAACACACCGTTAATTGCTTGATCGCCTTCAATCAGAAAAACGCACTCAGAAAATCACAATGTAAAGTTGGAGTTTGATTTCCACCTCCTGAAGCTCAAACCTTTACGGCATTATGAAATAAATGCGTTGTCCTCGAGCTGTCCCTGGTCATCAGTACCTTCAGACATCCTTCTAAAGTAATGAATCTTTTCAAGTGCACCAAAGAATTTCCCAAAGAGTTCATCTTTCCCTGTCAAGAGTCAACGCCAGATAAAAAGCTTATCATGTGAGCCAGAAGTAAATAAAAGGGGAAACTATTATATGAAAGAAGAATATACGCTTTAGATTAACTACAATGGGGGAATATCAAATGGTCGATTGGAATTAGATAAGAGCACGGTCAATCATACCAGGCGAATGAGCCTCCCTAGTTCCACCTCCATCCTGTTATTAAGAAATATAAATTGAACTCACCTTAAATCCTATTTTCCAAATTTGACAATCAAAATTGACAGTATAGAGAGATAGAGAGAGAAAAGAGTAAATCAAAGAAGAACTATACAGAAAGCTGAAAATATCAAGATGGATTTTCCAAGTTGGGCAAAACATTCTTGATTTATGGAAAATTAAGCAACGTAAAAAAGGGCAGAGAAAAGAAACTCGAACAACCAGAAAATAGGTCAAAAGCATATCTTTCATAATCCAACACTGAAAACAAAACACGGAAAATCACAGACTCGGGACTGATGATACAGACAAACCTCAACAACAACAGCATCATCCTTTCCTGAATATGAACCTGTCGCATCAAAAAACCCCCTATTTTTAACATCACGATCGACAGTCGCTTCTTGCAAGCTGAAAATATCTACCAACGACGGCTCACCATTCGAATGACTTATGGAAGATTGATCAATCTTAAACACTTCCGACCGACATTCCCTCGCCACATCAAGCGCCTCGCTATCAACTCCGGCCGACGGCTCAACTCCATACAAACAGATAAAGCGGGAAAATCATGAACCCTAACATCAAGGCACGGTATTGGCTCTGGTCAAATGAACTTCTATGAATCGAAATCGACTATCGATGGTCTTTAGTCACGGTTCAGGTCAGCAAGCCATTGTTATCAGTGCGTTTTTGTACGGAAAATCGAAAGCAGTGATTATGCGAGTCGATGAAAGGAGATAATAATGGTAGAAAAAGCTACGCTTTACCAGTGTTAAGGAAGTGGAGGAAAGAGCGGGCTACGCGCCGGGAGAGAGGGTCATCGGTTTCCACCGGAATGCATTCCTTAACCATTCACCTTCAACAAAGTAACCACATGACAACAATCATGGGTAAAAAGCACATTAAACCTCCAATATAAGTCCCGTAGAAAGATAAATGATAATCATATATAAACCAGTACAAAAGGCTCACTTGTAACTAAACATAATCCCATTTATAAACAAAGAAGAAACAACATTACTTAAACAAAACTTTTGGTTAACACGAAAACACGCATACCAGTAGCTCACTTATCAACAACTAAAACCCAGAAGCAATCATAAAACTACGTCTTCTTACACCTATGTCCATGTCCCGTCCTTCCTTACAGATAATCCCTCAGCTTATTCTTCTTTTCCCTCCTACATTCTATTCCTCTCATCCATCACATTATCCATCTTCATCAAGAAAAATTGCAGCCTCTGCCATTCCAATAGCAGCATCCCAATATTCTCGGACAGCCTTCGGGCCTGCTCGGACACCCTTCTATTCCTCAAGCTCCCCTCATTCTCCAAGATCAACGACGTTGACTTTTATTAAAAATAGATTTATCGTCGATGCTCTTCATCAGCCTCCTGTTGAGCTTGAACAGCTTCATGACAACAGAGTCAGTCTCGTCGAGCTTCCCCTTGAGGGCCTCGCACTCGACAACCGCTTTCCTTTTTTAACCTTCTCAGTCATTGTACTGTTGAGTCTTTTTGGGATTTTTTACAATCACTTCAAAACTCAAAAATTGTTTTACAATTGGACATTAATCAGTTGTTGAAGAATGGAATTTAATGGATAAATAACGGTGAGCCCAAATATAACCAAATTGTAAAATCTGGGTTTCAAAGTAAACCCATATGGTCAATTCAAGAGCACAAGAAAAAATACCTGTTGCAGATTCTATATGTGCAAGCTCTATAGTTGCACTTGTCGGTCGCTCACAAGATAAAGAAAGCATCTTAAAGGTTGGTGAATTTGATGGATCTGTCGGACGATGAAAAGGAAGATAGTCTCGTGTGGGCTGAAAGCTTCAGATTTGATCAAAGGAAGTCGGAGAAGTTAAATATGTTGGGTGAAAATCTGAGATATCTTACCCTAATTTCATTCAGATCTCTGCCATTGTGTGCCGTGACTTGTGATCTTGGAGGCCGAGTTGTGAAAACAGGTAGAGGCGTAGCCGAATGAGGCAAGGGGAGATTTGGGTCGGATACGCCGGCGGCGCAGTGGATGAGTTGCTCTGCTCCTGAGGCGGCGAGGGTTTGAGAAAGGGAGATGAAACCGATCAAAGCTCAGAAGGCTAGATGAGTTATGTTCTCTCTCCAAATAAATGGAGGGAAGGAAATGTTCTTCTTCTTCATTCAGTCAGCGAGCGTGAAATGAGGGAAGTGAAGGACCAGAAGTGACGACCCGGAAATGAGGGAAGTGACCGATTTAATTAAAAACAATAAATAAACTTTATGTCAAATAAGTAAAAAAAGTGCTCAAGCAAGGTCCTTTTGGTCCAAAAAAGACATGTGTCAACACCATAAAAGCCCAAAGTTGTTGGGTTATATGTATAGTAGAGACTAGATTGTTGACTCTGTGCACTGCACAGCCAGCCACATTACTGTCACAATTAAGTATGTCATTAAACTATAATCAAACTCTATAATATGTTGTAAAAGTGTGTTAGTGATTGAGTATTGATTTTAGTACATACTTATCATTCTTTTATTTTTTTCTTATAATATATAACAAAAAGCATGATTGTAGCGACCATTTTGCAAACAATACTATTGACAATGAGCATCGAGTTAAATCTCATTTTGCTTATAATGTCTTACTCCAGAGTGGAAATATAAAAGTGAGGTCACACTGAATTTCAACTACAACATTATTTCAAATATATTAATCCATAGTCTTGAGATAAAAGTTCAACAATATTAGAATTCAACTACAGCATAATTTAAAATACTTGTTGGTTCATTACGCACAGTTATTTAGTGCTAAAGTTGCATTGCAAAACACATTAGATTTTACCTCTTAATGTGATTATACGTACCTAATGAAGAATTTGTACTTTTTAGAATGGAACTTAAAATTATATGTAGAATTTGGAGATATATAGACAATAAAAAAGAATTACGGTCATCGCTTTTACAAAAAAAATAAACAATAACGTAATCTTCTGTTTTTGAAATACCCCTTTAGTGTCCTTGTTTGTTGTAATATTAAGGGAAATGTTTGAGTTACATAGATACCCGGAGACTTCATCACAAAATTAAGCATGCATAGCTAATTTACCACTACCTTTAAGGGGCTTCTTCAAAGCTGTCAAGCTCTCGGTCTAAATCTTCTCACGATCATGAACCATTATTTAATAATCAGAAGAACTATGCATAGTTGTAATTCATCTTTTATAGAGCATAAGCGTTTGATTCCATGATCAGAAGGACAATGAAAGTGGTTAGCACTGAATTGCATACAAGATTCACCACACACACACGCTTGCACACACACACAGAGTACGTCAACATGGAGTACAACACGTCAACTGGATATGACAAATTTAAAAGTCAACCAATACAAGATTTGCATTCCTAAATTATTTCATCCTCTCATCTCTACATTTGTATCATCACAAACCTTATGTTGTGCTAATAGAAGCCTTCTCAACTTTCCACCAAGCCAAATTCAAAAACCAAGAAAATCAAAAGATAACAAAACCTGGCCGTAATGACTTACAAATTTCCGAAATCACCACCACCAAACCATCACCTAAGAAGCAAGTGAAGGTCGCGCATCAATCAGAAAGATATTAGCCCGTAACTCTCTTGCGACAAATGGGTCCCGTCCAGCTCATGTAACAATATGGGTCTCTAAAAATATGAGCTTTGTGGCCCCCACAAATCATGTTGAAATTGTAATTCCTGCCCGTCCCACAGCACGCCCTCTTTAAATCGAGACCTATAATATTTTCTAGTTAAAAACATAAATTGCATGAGTTTAGATATATATATATATATATATATATATATATATAATATTAAGTATTTGGTTAGCTATATGTGTTTGTACGCCCTGTTTTTTACCTTTCAATTAAGATTCAAACTTTTCTGTTGTCTATATTTCCCCTTTCAATATGAAAATGGAGCCATCAAGATTCAAACTTTGAGCAAAACATGCTGAAAAAAGGAAATGAATCACATGAAATTCAGATAATTGTAAAGTTAAATATTAACATGAAATGTTTAGAGCCGAATTGATGAAATGATGAAAAAACATGTCTGCCAAAAGTGAAGCTGCAATTTCACCTGCAAAAAGAAGATAAATATGCTTCTTGGAGGGAATTTGTTTAACGCATTTCTCTTTCTACACACACGCAGACACACTAACCCTCTTGATCTGAAGACTTGAGTGATTTCCTTTGGACCTAGTATATATAAATCAGAAAGTCATAAAAAGGTTTCCATGACTCCGAATTCCTCGACTTTCTTGAGTTCTAACATCCCAGACGTCAAAGATATTAAAAAAAAGGAAAAATAATTCCAATTATCATTTGATAGGCCATCAAAGTTAATACTGAAGGTAGAATGATGATAAAATGATTTTCAAAAGAGTAATATTGTGTACATAACATTCTGCAGCTAACTTTAAGTTTAATGCCTCTATATACTGCCTAATATAATCACATAGTAAACATTTCAAATTTAAACCTAAAGCAATAGCATTTGCAGCTAAAGAATTACAGTCTTTATTTTCCTCATCTGTAGTATCTGGAAATTGAATAATAAATAAAGAAAAATTACAATTCAATTATTTTGGCAGAACAAACTATTTTTTAAGCAGCAAAATAATCACAATTGCATAAGTCTGGGAAAATTCGAACTAATAAAGAATAGTACTGAAGATGCTTTAAATTTGGGAAGAAAGAACTTTGTATTTTCCTCCAATTTGAATGAAACAATTTTTCTTTAAAAAATAACAACCAAATGGATTGTCTTGAATCAAATAGTAACTCCAACTGCGAAATGGATGGAAAAAAATGTTCCCCAACTATTTTCATATATTGAAAGCATGGCCAATAATTAATATTTGACATCCACCGAGACTTTTGAATTGTAATTGGTAATGAGACAATTTCTCTTGGATATTTTGGGATTCATAATATCAACTTGAAGAAAATAAGAACTCACCAAACAAGTCCAAATTGGATTATCACGAAATAACTAAGTTCACAAATTGGCTATTTTTGGGATTCATAATATCCAACTAAATATGTTAATGTCATGGTCACACCAATTACATGCTTTTAGGCAACATCCGTTTCCATCCC